TATTTCCAAGCATTGTACCCAAATAATAATCATAACCTTTTTTACTGATACGTGTTTAATAGATCTAACAAAAAAAAGTATTTTAAAGGCGTTTTGGAAATTAAAGTAATTTCTTGTCATTTTAGTGATTATTGTACTGTCTACTGTTGGACTTTTAGGAAATTATTTGACTGTTACCGCTTAGTGCTCCTGTTATTATATAAAAATGTCTTGATGATTCTAGCATCCGACAATTTCTTTTTTTATTCACCAGATCTAAGCTAACTGATTCGTTCCACGAATACGATCATTTAAAGTACATACAATATAATCTGATATAAATTAATGTGCAAGTTTGGCGTTATCTCGTTTAAGTTAATACAGACTTTAAATCTAAAGACATTTCTTACTTCGGAAGATATTTCAGTTCATTTTGTTTATTGTAAAAAGTAAATAATTTACAGAAAATGATTGACATCTTGAATAACAAACATTTAATCTTGTTCATTTGAATCATAAAAAAAATGTTTTTACAAATCTACACAGAAACTGTAGGTATTTTTAAAAGTTTCAGTTAATTAATGTGAACAGGCTATTAACAAATTTTGGTTTAACGCTAAGACCTTTTCGCTTGTGGATTTAAATCAGTTCATAATAAGTATTAAACAACATTTAAGGGAAATTTACATACTAAAGCCATCACTTACTTACTTTCGCTTGCTACCCCCAATAAAGCGTAGGCTGCCAACCAGTTTTCTCCAACCAACTCTGTCCTGGGCTTCCATTTCCACTTCTGTCCAATTTTTGTGCATTCTCATGTCTTTCTCTATTTCTCGGCGTAATGTGTTGCTTGGCCTTCCTCTTTTCCTTTGACCTTGGTAGTTCCAAGTGAGGGCTTGTCTTGTGACGCAGTTTGGTGCTTTTCGCAGTGTGTCCTATCCAGTTACAACACTCCTTCCTGACTTCCTCCTCCACTGGAATCTGGTTTGTTCTCTCTCACAGTACGTTGTTGCTGATCGTGTCTGCCCAACGAATCCGAAGTATTTTGCGAAGACAACTGTTCATAAATACGTGTACCTTCTGGATGATGGCTTTGGTAGTTATCCATGTTTCCGCTCCATACAGTAGAACTGTCTTCACATTTGTATTGAAAATCCTGATTTTGGTTTTGTTTGAAAGTTGTTTGGAGTTCCAGATATTTTTCAACTGTAGAAATGCAGCCCTCGCTTTGCCAATCCGCGCCCTCACATCTACATTGGATCCATCTTGGTTGTTAATGATGCTGCCCAGATATGTAAAGGTGATAACGTCCTCCAAAGAATCTCTATCAAGAGTGATTTGGTTGGTGCATGTTGTGTTGCATCGGAGAATTTTGCTTTTTCCTTTGTGTATGTTGAGACCTACTGCAGCAGAGGCTGCTGTACACTGGTCGTCTTCATTTGCATTTGTCGATGTGTGTGCGACAGAAGAGCCAGGTCATCTGCGATGTCCAGGTCGTCCAGCTGCGTCCTAGCTCTCCACTGATTACCGTGCTTCCCTCCAGATGCTGACGTCTTCTTAATGCAGTCGATCACATGTAGAAAGAGAAAGGGTGAGAGTAAGCAACCTTGCCTCACACCGGTCTTCACCTCAAATGAGTTTGTCAGCTGACCTCCGTGCACGGTTTCGCAGTTGAATCCATCATTAGAATTCCGTATGATGTTAACTATCTTCTCAGACACTTCGTAGTGTCGAAGAAGCCTCCATAGTGTTTTCCTGTTCACTCTGTCGAATGTTTTCTCGTAGTCGATGAAGTTGATGTAGTAGCATAGTTAATACCTTGATTTAACAATGTCTTAACAAATATTGTATATTTATTGTATTATCAATTTAATTGCTTTCAAACATTTCTACACCACAAAAATGTGTTGGAATCAACTGAACTGTTCTTTCATGAAGGAGGATGGTCTATAACTGAGAGAACAGATTTGATAAAAGATGTACATAAATATGTGTGAATTAAGATTTTACCGGTATGATTGGCATCGTATACACAGAAAGGGAAGCTTATATTTAAGTTTTAGAAGTGTTACAAGTTGCTAACCAATGGTCATTTAAAGAGTTCTAGAGATTTCTGTTTTGGATAAATACAGCCTTCAAATCATGTTCACTTAGGCTCAGTGATATTTTCAGTTTAAAGAGTAATACTAATTGGTCCTTTCTTGTAGTATTGCTGAGAAATACTGCTTTTACAATGTGAATCATGAAAATTATTTTTTTAGCTTACAACGAAGTGAACAAATTTTATATTTTATAAGTTAACAGTTATTATATTTTGTTCTCTTGTTGGGTGTTTTCGGATCCCCAATACTAACATCTGGGCTATGAGAATTAAAAATGTTGAACGTTCTATAAATCTCAATAACATATTTATGTAAATTTCAAAAACTATTAACTTATTGTCATCGATTACATATTTAAAACAATATTTACACCATTTAAACTAGGAACTAATAATTCACTATAACTGAAAATAACTGTCCCCTAAATTTATTGTTATGCAGCCTCCCCAAAAATTATGAGTCTACGTTTTCCATAAAAGAGGATGCATTGGTGATAACTTTGTTGCTTTAGATTTACTTTAATCCACTAATCTTACCTACTTAGTATGTTTAAAAATATTCACAACCTATCACGGACCCAAGCACTGTGAAACTCCACGAATGCCATAACAATGTTTCGTTTAATTTCCTTCTTCATTATCTGTTCTTTAAAGAGACGAGAGGTAATTCCTTAAGAAATTATCCATCAGAGACGTCATCAGAGCATCACTCATCTGAAACATCGATAAATCTATATCAATATCGTTATATAACAACTTCTCTTGTTCAACTATTTGGATATTGGCAAAATAATTATTTACTGTAATTATGTGAAAGAAAATGAAAAAAAAACTAGAAATTATTAAAGAAACAGGATTGTATTATTCATTAAACTTTCAAAGCCAGAACCATTTAAAGCGTGGAGCTGATTTTACAGATGTATTGACCTGAGCAAACTAAAATACGCAGCTATTTGTAGTTCCATTCAGGAAAAACGAAAATGGATGTTTAGTTACTATCAAATCAAAAATCGATTGACGTTAAGCAGTCGGAATAGTCTAGAAATACTCTATCATCTGGCATTAAATTGTTGTGAAAATCTTTTATTTCATTCCAACACTGAGCATATTCATCAGTTTGATGATTTGTATAGTGAGTCGCTGACAGTGTTCGTTTGAATATGCTTATTCTCTACAAAATCGCTTCTATATGGTCCATAGGCTTCAAGACTATTTGTATTGTACGTAAGAGCTACATTAAATGAAATGTTTACTTCAATAAATAATACAGTAATAAATGATATATTTAAATCATTAGAATCAAACAGATTTGTTGTCGTAAATTAATAATCCCGTCCGTTTTTCTGTGTGTGTTGAATTACTGTGTCCAATTTAAAATACAATTGAACATTTAACAACTCATATTATCAAGAATTCGAACTAGATATACTTGTCGTGGAAACATACATCAGGTAATAATAATTTATAGAATAAATTTTACTAACAGAAAATTTACTTATTGACTAATTTGTTATTCGCCCTACATTTTATTTATTATACATTTTTTTTAACAATATCAAAAAGAAAAAAAACACAACAAGAATAATATGTCTTTTGTTTCTTTCAACTTTCAATAATTTGTTTCAAATGACAGTGATGCCACTTATTTAATTTTTGTGCATATTATTGTTGTACACTACTAATTGAATCATCACATTGAAGGTGAGGTATGTTGTTGTAAGCTGGATAGTCAGTCTCATGTAAGGAAGAAGGTGATTTTCAACATTTTTCTGGCAGCAAAAAAAAACACAAAAGAAAAAAGAAAAAACAATCTGAAATGACAATATATAACAATAATACAATTGTATGTTTGACGCCGATAATAAAAATGATGACAAACGATATTATGTAGTAAAATAGTTATATATATATATATATATATATATATATATATATATATATATATATATGTCGATGTTGATTGTATCCTGTGGTGAATTGTTGCGTTGTTTAACATGTTAAAAAAACAACAGAATAAAGAAAGTTGTCTTTTCTTTTCTTTTTCTACTTTTTTTTTCTTCTGCAGAACAATTGCCAAGTTATAAAAATTTTATTTTTTTCAATTCTACAATAAAAGACAATGGGAAAACAAAAAAAATTAGTAGTTGAACGAAAATGAGTTTTGGGTGGGTGCTGTATGCACACACACACACACATATATATATAGATATATAAAACTGAAGCATATTATATTACATGAACAATAGACAAAAAACGATAGTAATCAGGAAAGGAGAGGTTACAACAAGCAGAATGTATAATAAGGTAGGCAAATGGTTTTGCATGAATAGCCATGGTGTCTATGAATGTGTATATGATAATGAAAATGTTTGAATATTTTATATTAGTCCCTGTCGTTGTTTTTTTTTTATCCAGTCTACAGTTGATAGCTTAGTTCTCATTTTTTTAACTTTTTCCGTGTGTGTGTGTGTATCTGTGTGTATTTTTGTTGTCCTCCCGTCATCATCTTACATAATTTAGTCTTGTCAGTTTATAAAATCATATTTACTATTCATTTGTTTTGAATTGTGTTTTTGTTTTCTCTCTCTGTGCATCTCTAGAATGTAGGTTTATGTGTACATGTTCTCTTTGATCGGATTGGCTTATTGAGTAACCAATATAATTTCAGTATCAATGTTGAATAAAAAAATACAATTGAACCTATGCAATATAATAGGAATTGAATTTCAAATTAACTAATAATAATAGGCGTATAGAAAATTAATAATTTTGTTTAATTTTTACCATAATTATTGATAGCTTATACGAAAAGATTGTACAAAAAAAAATGCTGTGGAGTATTCTATGATAGACAGTTTTGAATAGTGTCGTGTATTGATATTGTGGAAATTTAAGTGAATAAAAGAATAAATCGAATCATTAGTACATTTGTCAATTAAATTATGATAAAAATTGGAAATTTAATATATTTATGGATTATAACTTATTCTCTAATGCTGTTTTGTTATTATGTGAATAGTACAATTTATTCGTATCCTTTACATCTATTTGGGAGAATTGGTTTAACAGGTGCATCAAAACACTCACTTCATAATTCGTGGAATTCAAAATATGCTGAAAATCATGATAGCTATCCAAAACGAAATTACTTACATAACGACTTATTATTTAATGATCATGGTTCATCCTCATCCTCTTCGTCATCTGAGTCATCATCCACATCATCATCATCACCAGCAGCAGCAGCAGCGCTAGCATCAGCCTCGGCGTCACCTACATCATCGCTATCTTCAGCATTATTCTTAGATGATCATGTGTTTGATTTACACAATACTCATTTATCACATGGGGATAGATTAGATCCAACAAGTTATTATGCAGACTGGCATCGTTTATTAAATGGTTATGGTAGTCAAAGATGTCATAAAATTCCGAAAAATATGACATTATGTCAAAATATTGGTTATGATGGTATGATATTGCCAAATTATTTACAACATGAAGATCTTAAAGAAGCTGTTGAACAATCACAAGTATGGACAAGTTTAGCTCAAACGGAATGTCATTCTGATTTGAGAAAATTTTTATGTGCTTTATATGCACCAGTTTGTGTTGATGGACATCAAGAACATCTGATACATCCATGTCAAAATCTATGTGAAGATGTACGACGAAGCTGTTTACCAAAAATGTTACAATTTGGATTTGGATGGCCAGATATTGTTAAATGTTCTAGATTTCCAACAAGTGCAACTAGAATGTGTGTACCTTTGACTCAACAAAGAAGTGAGTTATTTGCAATAAACTCTTAAAATAATGCATTCTTTAAGTTGTGAACTGTGATCTGTGAATGCTGTGAAAAAGTTAGAACAGCTACACACAGTCTATGAAGTGGAAGCATATATATATATATATATATATATATATATTAAACGAAATCTATCTACTATCCAATATATTTCTGAAGCTCATAATAATAACGATGGTGAAAGTGAGAAGTTGCAAATCTGTTAAATTTGAGTAAAGTGGTCTAACAGCTAGGGCCCAGGGCTCTATTTATTGAAGATGCAGAGTCTTGTAATCTGGTGAAACAGTTATTCGAATTCATCTAATTAACAATGGGACTCCAAACTAAGCCAATATGTTTCGAATATATAATATTTCCCTATTAGGCAACCATCAATCTATACTTAAAACTGCAAAAAGCGAAACTGTCTAATCATGTGACATATAAACGTAAGAATATCGAAACAAATAAAAAGTAAAAAATATAAATGATTTTAATCCCATCTCTGTTTTACTACACATATATCAAAATAGAATAAGTATATCGAGATACTGTTAAAAAAATATGACAAAAGTATAAATTTACAGGAAAATTAATTTACACTTATTTTGATTTAAGTAAATACTTAAAATAAACAACTAGTTCAGTTTCATATTCATACCACTGTTTTCTGCTATTTTCTGATTATCCTAATTTCAAATGAAATATTTCTCTTTCATTTTATTGTTAAGTTTCAATGATTATTTTGAAAATCGGCTAAATAATTTAATTTTCCCATTACAAAAAAGTAACTATTCTGCGCCATATTTAAAAAAAATGAATGAACGGTGGCTTAAAATTTGTTACAAAATTGGTATATTTGATGCAATTTGTACAGAATTAGTATATATGTCAACAATTTATGATCAAAATTCAATTAAGAATACCAACTGCAAGTTGACATAAACACTAACTATGAATGACATATGCTGTACAACATTATGTTAAATGAAATAGTGTGTTTTGGTAAAAAAAAATATCACTAAGGTCGGATTATGTCATGGAGATTAATAAAATAAAAGCGAAATGTCTATAATAAAAAAATAACTATCAAAGTTATATCTTATAACGTTATTTAAAAATTAAACATCTTTCAATTCAAGGCATGTCATAATATTATTACATACTCCACGTTCAGAACAATTCTAATCAACTTTCAGTCTGTCTTGCAATTTACAAGTGCACAGTCCAATTAAATTTATATATTTCCTAAAAAATTCTACTAATTCACATACAAACCAAAATGTAATACTATGTCTCCTAATTTTTGTGATGACGTTATGTATATAATAGTTGATAGGTTTTAATGATTATTGAAGATAAGAATATAAATTTAGGGCATTATTTATTAATAAGCTGGTGTACAGATAAATGAAAGCAAGTAGGAATAATTTAATTGACAGAATAAAAATTAGTTGATTTAACTTTTAATTAATAAAAGACAAAATTTTTCTCTTTAAATGTAAATAGTATCATAACCAAATAATTCATTCAACAACATTCAAACACATTTACATCAATCCAAAAACTACTACTCAACGATGAGTAGAGAATGGGTTAAAATAATTTTTTTCCCATTTCGAAAATCTGCAGTAGTTTATGATCATTTAACCTTGATGATATAAATTCGGTTTAGATACGTTTTAATTTTCCGTCTTTATGTTTGTAGATGGTCATGAAATAATTCACTTGAACTGATTTGATTTGACCAGTTGCTCACAAAACCCAATAGTTCATAATTTTATGATATGAGTATTTTGAGCGCACCTACTGTTAAATGAAACCAAGACTTCGTCATTAAGTCTGATATTGACTAACGACACTAGTTAATTGATAATCCAAAAATTGAGCTACGATACCCAGATGTCAGTCAATCAAGTCTGAATTTATAATCCAAGATTCAGTGTTGTTTCATTCGTACAACAAATCAAGTATCCAACGTTTTTTGACTTTGGACAGCTCTTCTGTATTTTTCAAATAGTTAGGAATCACTTCATACAATTAAACTCCATCATAATTATACAAAAGTTTTAATTTAACTTAAAGTTGACATTTTACTACAGTTGCTTCAATTTATCCAAAGATTTATAGTTAAGATATGGTTCTTTAAAAAAATATTTCCGTTGCTCATTCCCCATATTCAATCCACAATGGTTTTAAATCATCTCATTTTATAATAGACAGTTGTCATGGGTTTCCCTTGGAAATTCCACTTCACTTATAATACTACTAAGGTCTATCATTTTAGACAAGATGAAATTCTTACCATTAGCTTTCTAATAATCACAGTCATTAACACCTGATTTTATCAGAACTGACTTACATTCCTCATATTAATCAATAAGCCATATAATTGAGCGTGTCAATAGTTTGCCAACCTTGTTTTAATCACCTTACTGTTAGAAGTTAACTGTATAAAAAAAACAATTAACACTATTTGACACTGCATATAAATTATTTAGATGTTGAACTGAATTTTCTGCTACTTCATCATCATCATCATTATAAAAGCACACTAATTCCTGGAAATGAAGCATTTTACTGTGACTATGAAATAGAGATTAATCAATAAATAATTTGTATTCTACATCCGACTATTTCACTATAACTTATGCATATAGAGTTTATTTGTTACTTCTCGTAACATTTCTTCATTTTCCTAAAGCCTGTACATTTTATTTTGAATGATTTATAAAAATTGGACATTGAAATGAATGTTCTGGAAATCAAACTAGAATGCAGTAAGACAGATGCATACTAAAAATAGACATTTTTTTATAACAAAATTTTATTGTAAGAAAAAAAAGATCAAAAGAGAATAGTACTTAAATTTTATAAAAAAGAAATATCTACCACATAATTTGATGTACAACATTCTAGATTTAACAATCAAAAAGCTTTCCACTGAGAAATAGTATAGGTAATATTAAACGATCAATACTTTGACTGATTTCACTCATCTTATTTTTGTAGAAATTGTTGGCAAGTAAAAGTCAATTAAGTGACAAGCTTTTCAGCAATGAGGAACGCTCATAAGGACGATGCTCTAACCAACTAAACTACCGGAACACAGCACTCATAAGTAGTCTAATAATAATAATCACTTTTTTTCATCAAGAAATTTACTTTTGGCTGATTTTAGTTGGTGAACCCAAACAAAGGTTACATTTGACAGTTAAATGTTATTAGTGTGAAATCAACAAAACAAAATATTAAAAATTTTACTAATCACAAAACTTCACCGATCGCTGATTAGTAAAAATATACGGTAATGTTTAGGCTACCCGAATCAGTTATGTTTGCTGAGAAAAATGTTTTGAATAATTTTTTCTGCGATAATTCTGTTTGTCTAATTCTGAAAAATTAAGGTGTATTGTAAAACTAGCATTAGTAAGGCGTTTTCAGAAAACGCATCTACCATTAGTTGAAAAACTACTGTTGGAAGGCATCAGGAATTCATTGTCAAAGTCTTTAGAACAGGTGAAAAAAAACCATAAACATCTCACCTAATCACTATCATGTGGAAAAATATCCCATATAGATATCGAAAAACTAAGGCTTATTTATCAGTCTGGTCGGGTGATTACTTATTTTGTCAATAAATTATATAGTGTTATTCTGGAGGATTGTGAAAGTTCAAGGACAACGGTAAGCACATGGATAAACATGTTTACTGTGCATAATTTAACATTTAAGTGAAACTTTCATTCTGACTTCACTCTTTATTTCGAATTTTAGGGCTCAAGTATTAGTGTAGTCAGAAAATGTAGTAAAACGTGGCTAGTGAGTAGTTATTAGTCAACGTTTGAATAGTCGACATACTAAATACAAATTATCATAGATTAGTTGTATTTTTCATGTAAAATGATAAACTAGATTGTAAGTAAAAACAAAGTTCTGAAATGAACTTTTTAGTGAAATAAATTATCTGATCTTCTTGCCAAAAACTAAAACAAAAATGACTAGTTATGAAGCTGATCACCAATTTAATGTGTATAATTGAATTCAGATGACATTTAATAAGGTTCAATAAGAAAATTTAAAAACTGATATGACACTTTAAAGTTAAGTGTCTTCGAGTCAGGTATCTGTAACAGACTAGCAGAATTGATTAATTCTGTGCCTAAAAATCAATGGCTTACACTGAGTCACAACTTACTTACTTACTTACTTACGCCTGTTACCCCCAATGGAGCATAGGCCGCCCACCAGTTTTTTCCAATCAACTCTGACTGAGTCACAAGATGTCAAAAAATTTTACTATTTACTCATTAACATATTAAGAATACATCTTCTTTTTCTCATCGTTGCAGTTGTGGACTGATTGAAATTAAAAACAAGGATGAAGTTTAAGTTTTAAGCAGCGAGTCATTTACCGAGTAGTTAGATTCACAGCTTCTTAATATTAAAGATGCTAATCTAATATTCAGTGAAATAACTTAAATTGTTATATTTTGATAGATAAAAAATGTTATGCTCGGTAAAGTGCATTTTTTCGTTATCAATCTGTGATACATTTTTTTGCCTTGATCCAAGTCCGCACATCATATCACCACAATGGGATAACTTAATCAAGTGAAATACCAGTGTAGTAGGTTTAGTAACAGTTACAGTTGTAACCGAAAAAAATCAATTATAAACAATATGATTATAGACGAAAGAATATTTCTGTGCACTAGAAAGTATGAGACAGTTTTAAAACTCAAGAAGATATACATCTTTGACTCATCTCACCGATCACCTCTAACTATTGGATATGATAACCATATTAAACTCAAACAGGCGGTCTGCACCTACCTATATGGCTTAATTTTAAAGTCGGTGGATTGATCCCACATCTTAGTTGAGCAAGATATAATAAATTCTTCAAAATAAAAAATGTCTGCAGTTCAGAAGAATACTTTAGTGTTTTTCCAGAAAACTGGAATTTATGAAATTAATTTAACAACTAAACTAATTC